TCTTTGTAAGGTTAGTGAGAGGTTATCTTCAAACATACATATTTGGGAAACAAAAGAAAGCAATTATTACTAACTATTTTCCTCAACTAAAAAAAAGTATGTATGTATGTATCCTGAATATTTTTGTTTAACAATAATTACTCCTAAAATTTCTATTTAAAGACTAACTGGAAAAAAGACCCCAAACAAACCAAAACAAGACTAACTAATCAACCTGAGAAACTCTGAGACATTCCTGCTAACAGGGTCTTAATTTTAAAATTTGAGGCATTGCTGTTAATAAGGTCTTAATTTTCCTGCTTTTCAAATTTCCAAACAACTTCTCAATATAGAAGGATGTGGTCCAAAGAGCGAGAAAACATTCTTCCAAAACTACAGTTATTGCTAAATTTCAATCAAAAGTATTTCAAGCAATAAAGTATCTTCCACCAGAGCAGCCCTGGTGGCATAGTGGTTTACTCATTGGGCTGCTAACCACAAGGTCAGCAGTTCAAAACTGCCGGCCCTTCCCTAGAGAGAAAGAGGAGGCTTTCTACTCGAATAAAATATCTTCTACTAGTACACTGTTTTGCTTTTTTAACCAGAGCAGTACACCATCTTCTAGCTCATTCATTGCCAATAAATTGTCTCAGACTCATAGTGATTCTACAGGACAGGGTAGAACTGCCTCTGGGGGTTTCTGAGATTGTAACTCTTTTTTTTTTAAGACTGTAACTCTTTAAAGGAGTAGAGAGCTTCCTCTTTCTCCCTTGGAGCATATGATAGTTTTGAACTGCTGACTTGGCGGTTATCAGCCCAAACCATAACCACTATGCTACCAGAGCTCCTAATTCATCCTAGCTCTAAAAATTATTAGTTATTAGAAGAGCCTGATTACTAGACTCCCAAGTGGAAGTATTAATGCACAGGTTTGTGCATAGGCTAATTAATACACTTTATATATATTAGTGGTTCTCAACCTTCCTAATGCCGCAACCCTTTAATACGGTTCCTCGTGTTGTGGTAACCCCCAAGCATAAACTTATTTTCGTTGCTACTTCATCACTGTCATTTTGCTATTGTTATGAATCGTTCAACCCCCAAAGTGGTCGCGACACACAGGTTAAGAACCTCTGGTGTATATTATAAAATATGGGGTCCCAAATATAGTCAACTGACAAATTGTGACCTTTCTTTGAAGTTAAAAATCTTTTAAAGTATTTCACATCCTTTTTTAAAATGGGATTTTAGTTTTTCCATCATTTTGCAAAGAAATACCATAGTAATTAAGGAGCAAAAAAATGAGGTAAAAAACAACCAGAAAACACCAAACTCACTGCCATCAAGTCGATGCCGACTCAGAGCGACCCTATAGGACGAGACAGATCTGAACTGCCCTACTGTGGGTTTCAGAGACTTTATGGAGTAGAAAGCCACTTTCGTGCAGAGCACCTGGCTGATGGTTTCAAACTGCCAATCTTGCAGTTAGCAGCCCAATGAACAACCCACTACTTTAACTGTATCCAAATTGAGTCAATCCCAATTCATAGCAACCTGACCGGGGCAGAGCAGAACTACTCCATAGTGCTTCCAGGGCTATAATTTTTACAAAAGTAGATTGCCACATCTTTCTCCCCCAGGGTGGGTCCAAACCTCTGACCCTTTGGTTAGCAGCCAGCCTAGTACGTAGCCACTGTGCCACCAAGATTCTTTACACAAACTAAACCCACTGCCATCAAGTCAATTCACACTCATAGTGATCCTAAAGGGTAGACTATAAACCACTAATATATATAAAGTGTATTAATATATATTAATATCCTAGGACTCTTTTTGAAATCACTCAAATTTCACCCCTCCTATTACCCAGTTCCCAAAGGATCCAAAAGACCTAAGGTTCTCAATATGACTCTTCCATCTACCAGGCCTGTCTTCCTTAGGCAACGCTCTTATTCTTTACACAGATCTTGTATTACTATCTCCAAACTTTCACCAGTGCTAACAGGAAGTTTATTTGATAAAATAATTATTGTTATCAATAAAAAAAAGTTTAAAGCTTTTTTTGTCAGAAAATGTTTGCGGTTTAAAAAATTACAGTATGTCTATCCACTGCCACCTACTTGACACCAACTCCTAGTGATCCACACAGGGTTCCCAGGGTATAAATCTTCATGGGGCGGCCAGCCTCATCTTTCTCCCTCAGGGCCACTGGTGGCTTTGAACTGTCAAAGTGAGGAGTTCCGACTTACCCAACAGTGCCACCAGGGCTCCTTCAAGTTAGGTACAATATATAGCAAGACATTTGCCATTTCACTATCATTGACATGTATAATTAAGTGGCATTAATTACATTCATCATGTTGCGTAATCATAATCACTGTCTCTTTCTAGATTGTGACTTAAAAAAATTGGGGCAATTCAGAAATAATCCTTAACGTTCAGGAGAGGTACAATATAAAATCAGGCTTTGGTAATTCTCAAGTTAAGCCAACCAACTGGTTTGCCTATTTGTAGGTAGAGTGCAATTACAGTTTAAATTAGAATTTAATGCCATCATTCAAGCAGTAGTAAATATATATCTGGCTTAGATATATGCCTCCTGGCAAATGTCAAGCAGTGGAAACTAAAGCTGAAACAGAATGGTTCTAATACAGGTTTCAAATCTGTTAAATCCCCCATTCTCAAGAACCACCACCACCAAAAAAAGAGTCTATGTTGTCAAGCCAATTAAAACCATCAGTTAACTTTTTAACCTAACCAGAAAAATTACTTAAGAGCACAGCATACAGGTAATTTAAAGTATATCGTCTACTTTATGAGTCCACAATTAATTTACTAAAGAACAACTATGCTTTTTAAAATTCTGACACATTGCTTTATAATCCCGTTCATCCAAATCGGTCTCTTAAAAAATGTAGTGCTATTTTACACAATCCCCAATTAACTTCCTGTAAGACTAGAGCCTAAAGTTTCTTTAACCAGCATTGAATGGATTCTATTATATAATAACTTTAGGAAGAAACCTCTTAACCAGCAATCACAAATTTGGGATCAGCTAGCTGAATTTTGGAGGAAAGAACAATTCTTAATTATTTAACAGCAAAAAAAGAGTAACAAAAAAAATAACAATACTGACTCAAATTGTTCAAGAGACATTACATAGAATAAGATATTGAAAAACCTATCAATCATTGGTATTTCTATACAGCTGAATTTGGGGTTTCCATCTACAAATCCACAAAGCTGTAAGGACCACACCACTCAGTTTTTATGTTCTTTTATCTCGTACTTATTAGATTGCTTCACATAAGAGCTGTTTTCACTTGACTTTCTATATGACCTTGGGCAAAGTCTACCAAATGGGAACTGTAATGGTACTTTGGTATTCCTATTGAAATTTACATAATCCCAATATCATCCTAACAACAGCGAAGTTCTCTAAGTCATCTGTACACAGAGAACTGCAAACTTTTGAGCTATAAATACCAACTTTTTGTCTTACTCGAAACCACATATTTTTGAAATATAAGCTGATCAGTAAAAAAAACCCAAGAGCTCCACGTTCAAGAAGACTGGGGAGAAAAAAGAGAAAAACTAGCTTTAATTTGCCATTTCCTCGATTTTATAAGCATAACAGCTGGACCACAACCCAAATTTTAAAAGTTGGCAGGAACTCGGGGAACAGTAGAACGAAATATAAGTAATCTAAAATCTGAAAATTACACAGATAAATCTTAATTTCAAGTCACTAATTTGTATACTCATGATGGGCAATCATCTCAGTGATGTTTTATTAGCATTAGAAAAATAAATCCCTGCCTTGCAGGCACATCTACTAAGTACATTCCATTTCAGGCTCCCAGGGCAGTTTAGGAGCAGTATCTCTTTAGGCTTCCCTAAGGTACGCTAAAGTGCTTAACATCATTCACACATCCAGCCACCACTAGGGTGAGAAGTAAATAAACAAGGTTTACTTATGTAATTATTTACCGCGGAATTTCAGTCAAGAATGAGAAAGTGAACAACCGCACGGGCATTTAATACTCAAAGAACCGGGTTAACCTAAGGTAGCAAGGGTCACTCTTGACCACAACCGAAGTCAAAGGCCTTCCACGCGTTCCTTACAACCAGCGTTCTAGACGTGAAAAAGTAACAATGTCAGCATGTTAACAGTTCAGAAGATAAACAACTTAACGAAATCTCTTCTTCGAGATCCTCGAAAGGTGCTTACAAAAACTGATAGAGAGCAACGCCCCCCCCCACCCCCCACTCCAAAAGCATCCTAATAGAATGAAATGCCCCGAACATCCGTTAGACCAAAAGATTTTAGAAAAGCTGATCTTCGACCCGAATTCGCGGGCGGGATCGCAGGGTTTGGGGCTAGGAACGTGCGATCGGGGGTGGGGGTGGGTAGCAAAGTGAAATCTAACCCCAGAAATCACAACACAGGCCGCAGCCTCAGCGCTCAAGCTGGCGGGAAGTGAGCGCCGCTCCGGGTCCCAGGGGAAAGTCCAGCGCAGAGCGGCTGCAGGCAGCGGACGCGCCCGGCGCCAACAGTGCATGCCTACCGAGGCGCCAGAGCCGCGCGAGGACCCGGTGGAGAGGGGAGGAGATCCCGGCAGAGGGCCTGGGAGAGGAGGAGGACTGAGGTCGGGAGCAGCGGCAGCGTCCGGACGGGAGCTATTACCTCACTGTGACGACAGAGAAGTGTCCTCGAGCCCCGGTGATGTTCCCGACTGCGCAGCGTGTGGTGTCTTTCCCGCTTAGCCCGCAGCAGCAACACAACCAGACCCTTCAGCCAGTCGCCATTTCCCGCCTACCGACCTGCTGCACCGCACGGACAGGGACCCGGATGGAAAGCGGCCTCTCTGCGCAGGCGCCTTAATTTCCTCCTCCCCCCTCCCGCCACAATTCCGAGAGGTGGGAGGGGAGGAATGCGGGCGGCAACAGCGGCAAAACATACACACACACACACACACACACACATACACACAAAAAACCCAGAAGGAAAAAAAAACCACCTTTGGCTTCCGTGAAGAGCGCTACAGTTCCCGCCACCAGAAGAAACGCGCGAATCCGAATTCCTAACAAAAACTGAAAGCAGAGCCTTTGGACCGGGAGTATGAAGGACAAAACCTATCGGGATACGCCAGGGCTGGGAGACATTTGTGCTTTGGGGGCCTCCGTAGCTGAGTGTGGTGGTGGCAGGGGGAGTTGCGAGTGAAGCGTTAGGAGTGAGAGGCGGGGGCTCCAAAGACGGTTTTTCCTCCCGCTGCTAACGGAACTGCCTAAGCGCAGGAGGGAGGGGGAGTGCCTCAGGCCCTGGAGGCGGAGCGTAGGCGCGCGCGCGCCCGGGCGGAAAGCGATCCGTGACCGGGAGCGCGCGGGTGGGCGGAGCCGGAGTGGGGGGCGGGGCTAACGGCTTGGCGCGCCGGAGGAGGTGGAAAGGCGAGCAGTCCCACAAACTGGAGGCGAACCGTCCTGCTTTCCTTCTCTACTTGCGGCCCCCGAGGGTCCTCTTCCTGGCTCCCTGCCTCGAGGGCATGGCAGTTGCTCTCGGATCTGTCACACACCCACACGCGATGTCGCCGGTGATTCTGCACGCTGAGAACTTGCATCATGCCAACAGACCTGGGTCAGCGGACGGTCGGTTTCGCGGACTGAAAAGGAATCAATGCCCAGCGTCCAGTGCCAGACTAAATCTACTGGAATATCAGATACCACCAAGTGGTTGGAAAAGCATTATCGTTGGACTAAAACGCCAAGCCCCTCTCACCACTCGATCGGAAAGTATTTATTGAAAAAGCACAAGGTATTCAGGACCTTACCAGGTGCCAGCGATGCACCCGTGAGCATGACAGACGCGGGACCCTCCTTTCCAGAGTGCTATTAAAGAAGACAGGCCGATCGTGTGAGAAAGTGCTTAGGAGGAGTGGAGTCACAGGCTTTGTTAGAATCATAGGGTGCAAGTGTGGGAAGGCTTTCCGATATAATGTCTAAATGAAATGTAAAGGAATTGGCGTTTCGCGGGAAGAATGTCTAGGTAGAGAATTAACATGGAAGAATGCAAAAACAAGATTGTGTTAGTTTAGGAAGTAATTCTGTTTGCATGGGGGGTAAAAGTTAGGGAGAAAAGAGAGAGGCTAGTTAGTGGCAGGCAGAGATAACCGGCAAACCCTTTCGAATCTGCATTTACACTTCAAGGTGTGGAGCCGGCGGGTTGTCTTTTCAAAGCTTTCTAGTAAGTATCTAAATTCTAGATTGATCCTGGCAGCTCATTTGTTTGAAATCTTCCCAGTATAAGAACCCTCTGAATTACACCCTGAGAGCCCATTTGTGTACAACCACAGAACTGCTAACAGCCCACAAAATAACAGATTCCTGATTTGGAAACCAATACATAATCACTGGTTACACAATAGTATATAAACCAATTATTCCATTGATTACAGTAGTTATTTTTAAATCAGGTAAAAATAGAGATATTCCTCAGAAAAATAAAAAGATCCATGAAGCAGTTATTTCAAACCTTCACTCTGTAAGTAAAGCATGCCATTTATGAAGCACTTATTTTGGTTTTATTGGTTAAATAGCAAAATTCACCTCTACTTTTACAAAATGTGAAGATTTTTTAGAAAATTTGAAGACACATAGGACCTGGATAGCATACTGATTTGTGTGTTGTGCTGGTAACTGAAAGGTCAGTAGTTCAAAACCATCTGCTGCTCTGAGGGAGAAAGAAAAGGCTTTCTACCGCCATAAATATTTACAGCCCTGGAAACCTACAGGGGCATTTCTGCCCTGAACTACAGGGTCATTACAAGTCAGAATTAAGTCTATGGCACTGAGTTTGAATTTGAGGGCTCGAATGGGTTCCCTGGCAGAAATGCATTAATGGCACACTGATTGTTAATGGCACACTGATTGTTGTATTGGAGCCATCGGACAGCTGTGGTAGAATGGAAGTTTCCAGGGTTAGTCATTTTAGGAAGTGACTGCTACTCTTCTATGTGAGATTTTTTGTTTTACACACAATTAACCAAATTTTGTTTTTACATGGATGTACAAATGAGGCCCCCCAAAATAATAATTCTAAGATTTAAAAAATGACAGTATTGTAGAAATATTTTAAAGTTATAGTTGCAATTTCCCTATTTCATATATTTTTTAAAAATCATGTTATTGATTTTGCAACCTCCTTTATAGGTGATTCTCAGTGGCTGAAATTAGTCCAGCATATACACATACAGCATTTATAGATTGAGTTGTGGGACTGAGGACAAGATCCTGAGCAGATTCCCTGAATCATGAATGTAGTTTCACTTGAGGAAAACAGACTTACTTTTGGACTAATTTTAGTTATATTTACCATTATCTTGAGATATATGAAAGATTTCCAAAAGTTCATGAAAAAAAATTCCATTATCCTTAAAATCCATTTTCCACAAGCTTTTTGAAGCCCCAACATTACTATTATCTCCGGCCAACAAATAAAGCTATTCTTTCTCCGTTGCTTTCCTGTACTTCTAGCTCCCAAATCCTACCTGGTTGCTGAAGCAACTGCTTAATGGAAGATGTGCCTCCCGTTCCCGCTCCCCCATCCACCCACCCCCATGTTCTAGTCCATCCCCCATGCAGCAGCCAGAGTTTCTGGTTTGCTTTTTGTTGCTTTGCTTGTTTTATGAGTTTCAGTGGGATTTTTATTGAAATGAACAAAAAAATCAAGATGTCACCATTTTTTTCCTGAACGATAAGCTCAATGAAGACTCTGGTTCATGTACATACAATACATCCCCACCCAAAGTGGAACATTTCATGAATATGCGTGTCATCCTTGCACAAAGACCATACCAATCTTCTCTGTCTCATTTCCAATGATAGTATATGTGCTGCTGAAGTGGGCCCTAGAGAGATTTATCAAATACACAGCAGATCATGTCATTTTTCTACCTAAAACTCTCCAATACTTCTGCACATATAGGAATCAAGTCCAAGCCCTGTATTGTGATTTACAAAGTGCTATACCATCTGTCCCATGTCTAGTTTGGTTTTTTTTTTAATGTCTATTTTTTTCAATTGGTCTCACTTTAAATTGATGCCTATAAATCTTGGATGGTGACTCAGCAATCCCCAGACTGTTGGTACTGCTAGCTGTTAAACAGCTATAGTATACCTTTTATTTTCAAACCTGCAATATTCTTTTCAGTGTTCTTAGGACAAATGCACTTTGCCTCTTGAGAAAATGTAAGTAATCATGAGAATCTCATATTTGACTACCAAATCTATATCTGATCCATACTCTATTTTCTCTATCATTAAAATAGATGAAATGTCTCTACTGTTATCCAAAGATCTCTTATATTCTGGATCCCATGCCCAAATCATAAAGACTCTGTCATCTATACTATCCATTTCCCCCCTCACTTGTGGATCATATCCATCCTGTATGTAAACATGCCCCATTATTCATGGGAAAAACAAACATGTTGATTCAAATTCCTTTTCCAGCAATTGCCTCTTTATTCCTCCCATTTACAGCACAACGTCCCAAAAGAGTTACCTATGCTTACTGTCTTCACCTCTCGTGCATTCATTTCCATTCTGTCACTTCTGCCACATCTAAAGGTCACTTCTCTGACTACAAGCTACTTCCTCCTAATTTCATGAAACACTCTTCCTTTGACTTCCAATATACTTAAGTATTCCATTTTCCTGGTTGAGCCTGTTTACGTACCCTCTATATCTATACCCATGAACAGGCAGAAGGACAAACAAAGGTGTCTTGGAAGAAGTACAACCAGAATGTTCCTCAGAAGTGAGGATGGCAAGATTTTTGTCTCAGACACTTTGGACATGTTATTGGGGGGCCAGTGTCTGGAAAAGGACATCATGCTTATTGAACTAAAAGGTCAGCGAAAAAGAGGAAGACACTCAAATGGACTGACACAGTGCCTGCAACATGGGCTCAAACATAGAAGATTGTGAGGATAGCCCAGGACATGGCATTGTTTTGCTGTGTATAAGGGTGATAAAAGAACAGACTTCACAACACCCGACAACTAAGCTCTGTCCCAGGTCTATTAATACTGTCCTGGGAATTACCTCCACTTCCATTGCTTGAAATAGCATCTGTATTAGCCATTGACTCCCCAATGTTTTCCAGTCCTTGTTTCTCATATTCAGCTATCTACTTGATACCTCTATTTGAATGTCCAAAAGACATTGGCATGACCAAAACTGAAAAGCCCCAAACCACCACTGAGTCAATTCTGACAGTGGTAGAATGGTTCCTGTGGGTGTCCAAGACCTTAAACCTTTATGGGAGCAGCTGGTAGTTGTAAAGCACTATCAATTTTCTCTGCAAGCCCTTTTCAGTGTTTTCCAATTGCTCCACTCAAAAACCGAGATGTCGTCCTTGGTTCTTTCACTCATACCCTATAATCAATCCATGTCTGCTTTCCGCCATCCCCACTGACAGCACTGTAAGCCAGAATCTCTTAGTGGAATGAATGCAATCCCTTCCCAGTTAATCTCAAAGTTTCCAATCTTGTTTCACCTCTTCCGCCCCACAATCCATTCTACACACATAGCCAATGAGCACTCCCATGATATTCCGTCGTAGTAACAATAGACTATAAACTGTGCGTTTTACAAGGTCTGTCGTGATAATGCTCCCTACTTCTCTGGCCTCATCTTTCTTCCCCTCATTACACTCCAGCAGCACGATTGCAATGTTCCAGTTGACTGAAAACCTGATTATCTGGAAACTTGAAGAGCCGGAAAAGCTGAGACCATCTTTACAGACAGACCATTGTATTTACCATCCACACCCATTATTGAAGCCTGCAAGGCTCTCTACAATCAGGCTTCTGTCTACCTTCCCAACATTAGCTCATTGCACTCTTCTCTCCCTATTAGCTACATTCTAGGCACACATGCTAACCTTATTTTAATCTTAGGACCTTTGTACTTGCTATTTATATGTCTAGAAAATAATGCCTTCAGGTCATTGTAAAACTGGCTCCTTTTTATCATTTATTATTTCCTTAAGCTTTCCCTGGCCTCCTACTTTGTAAAGTCGGCACTTTTAGTAAATTATTGTTTTAGTTTCTTCGTAGCATTTATGAAACTATCTACTCAAGTACTCCCTCAATGCAAGAACACGTTATTCTATTGAACTGGCATTCCATGATGCTCACCTTCCTGACACAATTGCTGAAGACAAATGGGTGCATAAGCAAACGTGGTGAAGAAAGCTGATGGTGCCCGGCTATCAACAGATATAGCTTCTGGGGTCTGAAAGGCTTGAAGATAAACAAGCAGCCATCTAGCCGAGAAGCAACAAAGCCCACATGGAAGAACCACACCAGCCTGTGTGATCACCAGGTGTCGATGGGATAAGGTATCAGGCATCAAAGAACAAAAAATCATGTCATTGTGAGTGAGGGGGAGTGTGGAGTGGAAACCCAAAGCCCATCTGTAGGCAACTGGGCATCCCCTTACAGAAGGATCATGGGGAGGAGACTAACCAGTCAGAGTGCAGTAGAACAATGATGATACAACTTTCCTCTAGTTCTTTAATGCTTCCTCCCCTCACTTGAATGACCCCAATTCTACCTTACAAATCCGGCTAGACCAGAGGATGTACACTGGTACAGATAGGAACTGGAAACACAGGGAATCCAGGGCAGATGATCCCTTCAGGACCAGTGCTGAGAGTGGCGATACTGGGAGGGTGGAAGGAGGTTGGGGTAGAAAGGGGGAACCAATTACCAATATCTACATATAACCTCCTCCCTGGGGGATGGGCAACAGAAAAGTGGGTGGAGGGAGACGTGTAAGGTATGAAAAAATAAAATTTATAAATTATCAAGGGTTCATGAGGGAGGTGGGAGCGGAAAATGAACTGATACCAAGAGCTCAAGTAGAAAGCAAATGTTTTGAGAATGATGGCAACAAATGTACAAGTGTTCTTGACACAATGGGTGTATGTATGGATTGTGATAAAAGATTTATGAGCCCCCAATAAAATGATTAACTTTTTTTAAAAATTCTGAACAAAAAAAGGAAGAAAGGAAATTTAAAAGGGCAAGAAAGTTGAACTGAGGAATTTTTTTTCCCTATCATCATGCACCTGCTCATACTTCAAGGGTAGCAAGAGCTGTTCTATGAGAATTTCCTTGGGAAACTACCTACCTTGCACCTGAATCTTGCCTATCTAGACTTTGTTCTGTTCCCCAAACTCAAAGACCATTTCAAAGGAATGATCTGAGTCCCTCGGGGATGCCCACAGTGACATTTTGACATGGTGCAAAATAGGGGAAAGGTTAGGGATGGTAGTGCCTTTAGAAGCATATAGATCTAGATAAAGGGTATGCTGCAAAACAATGCCATTGCACATTGCTATTTTTGTTTAATAACATTTTCTAGAATTTTGTAGCAACACGTTCTTACTTAACCATGTATCGCTAGATAAAATGGTTTTATTTTTGCCATATCTTACCTGTCTTAATTAGGATGGAAGTTTTATGACAGCAGAGAACTTACCAGCTTTTGTTTGTTTTTACTACTACACACTGAGCATTCAGAACACTGCCTAGCATGTACTGGGTATTCAATACATATCTGCTGAATGACTGACCTCATCTGACTACTTTCTGCTTTAATCACTGTATTTCAACCACATACCTGTCTCTGAGCACATTTTTTTTTTTTGAGCACATTTTCAAACGTACTAAATTTGTTCCTGCCTTAGTGTTTCTGTGCATGCGATTCCCTTTCCCTATAATGAGCATCCCTTAGATGTCAGAATGGCTGAAACTTCATGGCAGTCAGGTTCAACTCAAATACTGTTTCCTCAGAGAGGCCTTCTCTGGTCAATTTAAAATAGCTCTCATGGTCACTGTCGCATCACTGTGCTTTATTTTAATGGCTTTTATCACTGTGAACAGGATCTGATTCATTTGTTTACTTGGGTGCTGTCTGATTGAAAATCAGCTCCAAGAGCACAGATAACCTTGTCTGTCTGTCAGGTACACTGCAGCATCCTTATTCCCAAGACCCCTGCTGGGCACACGGGAGGCATTCAGTACATACTGAGTGAACTAGCTTACAAGTAAAATAATAAAAAATGCTTGCTATTCAAGTTTGGTTTAACTTAAAATGAGTGTAAAATTTACTCACATTTTGGTGTTAATGTGTGACTAAACAGCATCACATGCGTATGATGTGTGTAGATGTATCAGAACCACCACAACAGTGAAACAAGTTTAATTTTTAATTTATTAGAACCCAGTAAGTGATGCTTTTTTAAAAATCAGAGTTTCCACCAAATTAACACTTAATCCAGGGCAAAAATACATTTTAAAAACCTAAATTTTAAGGCAGAAGGAAAACATTATAAAACCAGCATGTCTAATGCAGACTAGAATGTCGGACTTTTAAGAGATTCACATAGTATTTTATAGTACTAAAATGTTAACATAGTCAGAAATTTTACCAACTGGATAAAGGTTTCTCAGTTTATAAAATAGCTAGGCTTTAATTGAAGAAATTTTGCTGTGTAATTAAATAGCTACTGTATAAGCAAATGATTTTTTTATGGCAAAAGAATTAAAGCAGGTAATTAGATGCTTTTCATTTATAAAGATCTTACAGTATTAAAAATAACGTAATGCTGTGTTTTTAAAATTAATTCCCCCAAAACTGATGTTCAAAAATCTAATCAATTATCTTGAACTCCATTTTAAAAATTCTGTGAACTGTCATATCACTTCATTGTTAGACTATACTACTTATAAGGAAAGGCATGAATTGCTTACTTTGATATTGTGGGGGAAAATTTTTTGTAATTATTGCATCTTTTCCTGGTCACAAAATAACTTTCGTACCCTTCACACATGCACATCATGCTTCTTTATCGCTGTGAATTTGGATTTTGACTATAACCTGAGTGCAGAAAAAGAAAAGCATTTGTTTACATGCAATTAACAGTAGCCCTTCTGGCAAACAGAGTTAACGATTGGCCCTTATGATCAAAACTCTTTATTTTGGTGAAGAGGAGAAGTACTTTAAATTAGAAAACAAGGATTGGCTATGTTACACATTCTACTGAAGAGTGACAAGAAAGAAAAATGCATTTTAAATAATTTGCAAGTCTAGCAAATATGAGGTTGATGGGTTCTTCACTAATATATTAATTATAAACATCCTTCATCTTTATTACAAACTTTTAAGCTATTTTAATAAAATGGCTATAGACCTCACTGTACTTGTTTATCTGTGCATTAATAACGACATCTGTTAAAATTCCTTATTTAGTACTTCTGGAAAAGTCGACTCAAATAAGATCACTAAAGATTACCAAAAAAGCTTTGAAATACTGATTGCAGCTTCATTTCCAAGTTGAGCTAGCCCCTTTCTAGATCTGGCATTAAATCACACATATCTTCACCAATCTGAACTCTGAAAATACAAAAATGTTAGCCAGTGCTGGCTATAGTTAAACACTACAGGTATTATGTGAAAAAATAAAAATCGAAACTATATTGCAATCATGCATTCCATAATTTCATGAACTTAGTAAAGCGTGACTCACAAATATTGGTAAGTCTTTGCAGGCTAGCTTAACTTTCATCAGGCTTCTGCCAAAACACATTAGTTCTCATGTAAGATAAAAGAAATAGGGAAGTGATTTTTGCATACGTGCTGCCCAGCTTCCAATTTCCCCCATTTTATGTAACTATTCTAGGTATGAGGAGCCCTGGTGGTGCTGTGGGTTAGACTCTGGGCAAGGCCAATGGTTTAAAGCCACCATTTATTCTGAGGGAGGCTGTCTGCTTCCTGTAAGATTTACAGCCATGGAAACCCTTATCCAGGGGGCTGTGAACTAGATCGAGTCAATGGACTTGGCTGTGGGGTTCTAGGTATAACTTCATGAAGAGCAGGAGATGTGGGGTAGATAGAACAGAAACCTTGATTGTGCTAATAAGAATATATTAGTATATAAAAAGTTTTTCAGCAAATAATTGCTCTCACCGTGGTTATGCTATCTGTAACATATAAACTGTACAACTTTTCCTGTTTGTCCATTTGTGGAAAGAATTAGGCTCAATAAAATTTTAAATATACATTTGTTTGCTTTAAATGCAAAGATTACAGTTTTGCTTCTTTGTTTTTGCTTCAACTGTATCATAACCAAAAAAGTCTCTGCTTTGATAATACAATATGAAAAAAGTTCACATATGTACAGGATACATTCCTCCATCAAAGTTTTTACTTAAATCTATCTCAGTGTATCTTTACAATTGATACAACAGATCTTTACAACAAAAGTCAAGAAACAACAAATTAGAAATGATTCCATTTTACAGCACTTTAGGTTTTCTGAAGTTTTCTCTTAGGACTTAAAGGACATCATTGAACCGTTGCTTCCCATAGTTGGCAGGATCCATTTGAAGTTCTCGTTCTTCATCATCTGTAAGTAAAATAATTATATATCAGGAATATTATTTTTTAAATAATTTGTAGCAATCCAATTAAATGATGTCTCAATTTTTCTCGGCCATAGATAGAACTTTCTATTTGTTGTGAGCAAACATTTTTAACTGTCCTGGAAGGTTATTTAATTTTTACACGTTATAGATACATAGATCTCATTCACTGCCATCAAGTTGATTGCAGCTCACAGTGTACCGTGGGTCAGGGAAGAGCTGCCTCTGTGGGCTTCTGGGACTGTAACTCTTTATGGGAGTAGACAGCCTCACCTTTCTCCCAAAGATACACAGATAAGATATAAGCAGAGCTTGATAGGTATAGCTAGAAAATCTTTAGGAACCCACAAACATTGAAGAGGTAACCTTCTATATAAATATTTATATAGCGTGGGAGTAAGATCAGAAGGCAATTATTAGGTAGGCTTATTCTTTAAAAGACTGTCTATGTGCATGGCACATTTTTTAACAAACCTCACACCCTCCCTTAAGAGCTTCCTAGGCTGATGGCAACTCATTTGCAAGGGTGCTTAATACAATGGAGTGCTAGATTGTTATAAGATTTGTAAGAGCCCCCCAATAAAATGATTAATTAAAAAAACTTTCCTATTCATGCTATATGCATTATACGTGGGTGTACATTATTTATGTGGGTGTTATAAGTAGGAAAAATGCACTGTTTTGATAGAACCCTTTCTACATACATTTTCATGGTTTTAAAAAGCATTGTTTTTCTAATTATAAAAGTTGTGTATGCGTGCTTGCTTTGGCGGCACATATACTAAAAAGTTGTGTACGCTCATCATGCACAAATTTTTAAAATAAAATGGGGGGCGGCGCAGAGAAATTCACTCACGATGCGAACAAGCTTTTAGTCAGTTTTCTTGCGACTGTGACTAATTTACCCCTGACTTCTTAAAAGGGACATACGGATGAAAAATTTACCTTTTCTTGGCCAAGCAAAACACTATATCATATCGTTATACAATAAAATTCTCAAAGGTACTTTGAGTAACTACATCAGATTGCCCCAGATAGTGCGTTGGCGTTTGAATTCTTTATTGGCTGTTGTCAGGCATGTCTGGTTCCTTCCTGGCTAACAGCTGTCATTTCGCATTATTGTCAGCTTATCTGTCAATAGTGATCCTTTTCTTCTAATTTTGCTACAAACTCCAGGTTTCAAAATAAGATCAACCAGAACATTGCAATTATGTCCGAATTAGAATGAAAAGTTTCATCAGAGCCTGTGAGGCTCCCTTTTGAGTCCGTGACTTCTTATGACCCCCTTTTGGGTTTTTAGCCGCATTAAAAATGGACTTTTCTTACTTCCTAATTCATAGTTACAATTATACAATAGCCTGGTTGTTTTATAGACATTACTATAAGAATAATTGTCTGAAAATGTATAGCATAAAGACACAAGTATTAGAATCAAAATTTACATGTGTACTATAGTTCCCTAAAATGTATTCCTTTAGGCTTGGTTTTTATTCTTGGGTTCTCTAGTGCATGCCATGGTAAGATTTTGTTCTAGTAAGATACCATATGGTATTTACTATACTGTAACTTTCCATAACAATGTGCTCATTTATTCATTAAAAATGTCGAATAAACCAACTTTCTCCTTCCAATAACTTTCCTCTTGATCTTCTAGAAAATCTTAGTTAGAATTGCAGGCAACCATTCTGAACCAAAATTCTTAACAAATTGATCTCTATCTTCAATAGTATCATTTGCTTAGTATAAAAACTTAATCTGTTAGTGTGTTAGAGCTTAAATTATAAACATGCCATCTACTGTGTTCTAATCAATTTATTATTAAAGAACTCTGTACTATTAAAATATTTTCCTTTATTTTAAAATGTAAAATAATCAATAACACCTCTCCAGAAAGTTTTCCTCAGGCCCCATGTTATAGGGACTCACCTTATGGCTAGAAACACATCTTTAAGGTCTTAGAAATCAAACAAAGGCTTAGTCTATATCTAACAGTAGAAAAAGCTACTTACTGTAAAGGAGACTTTCTAGAAATTAGCAGGAAATTTAATGAAAGTAAAATTGTTATGAGATTTTTAAATGAATAAAAGTAAAAAGAAAATGAGATAAAAACAAAACAAAGGTCTTGGTATAGAAAAACTGAATTCTAGTCCTGTATGCGCACTCAAAAATATAATTTAGTGGGTGAAGGGAGACAGCAGTTGGTGTAAGATATGAAAATAATAATAATTTATAATTTATCAAGGGGCCATGAGGGAGGGACCGAGGGTGGGGGTGGGGGTGGCGGGAGGAATTGAAGACCTGACACCAAGGGCTCCATAGAAAGTAAATGTCTAGGAAATAATGATGGCAACATATGTACAAATGTGCTTGATACAAGTGATGTATGGATTGTTACAAGAGCTGTAAGAGCCCTCAATAAAATGCTTCAAAAGAGAAAAAGATCTAGGAAAAAAAAAAAATATATATATATAATTTAATTACTGAACCACTTGAGTCCTCTCATTACCTTTTCAGTTGAATAGAGGTAACAACTGCCTTTCTTACCTCAAAATACGATAAGGAGTATGAATATATTCCTTAATTATAAATTCTACATAAATATAAGGAGCTTTTTAGTTTTATTCATTTATACTTTCCAGCAAAGTTTTATTATGGTGCCTTCACATTTTTTCAGAATTTCATAGTATAACTTTTATAATTTTTTTACACTAATTTATCATTTATACTAACTGAAGCCCATTTTTGGTGTAGCTCTTTTACCTATAGTTCATGTTTCCATTAAGAAGATCTTTGCTTTTATCTGTAAAATAGGATGAAATTACCTGACCAAACCTGATGTAGAATGACAGATAATCTTAAATACGAGGGCAAGTCAAAAAGTGTTGGCTATAAAATCACAGAAACCTTTATTAAACAAAAATATCAAACTGTGAAGCTATTGTTTCTTGACCAATCATCCATCTAAGCCCGTGGGCCATACAAGGCTCGGGAAGTCATTAGTACCAGCTGATATCACATGCCTCTTCAAAGAAACTGTTCCAGCCATCACTTGAGGGGTGAGTTAATTATATGTTTGACCCGCATGGCCTGTGAAGGATGCTATAAACATCCAAATGGCCCTTGGTAGATAAAGGGTTCCCCATCCTGATCGAGGTCTATACACTTCCATGTCTTTAACCAGTCCCTGAGGAATTCTATATTTCTCCATTTACAGCACATCAAAGCAACAGTTTTGGTAGCCTCAAGGGGTTCAAATCATGTTCCTGAGAAATGCTCTTTGAGTTTGGGGAACAAAAAGAAGTCTGAAGAGGTAAGACGTGGTTATAGGTCAATGGGGTGAGCTTTCCCAATTAAATTTTCAGAGGACAGCCCTTGCTAACCTCAAGAATGAGAAGGTGCATGGTCCTGATCCAAAAACATTCCTCAGCCCAGCCCTTTTCTCTTCTTCACCAAAGAAGTTTTCGATTTTCTTAAACCTTCTTCCTAGTAAGCCCTTTATGACTAGCCTGTTTGCTTTGAGAAAATCTATCAAGATTACCCCTTGGGAGACCCAAAATACAGTTACCATGACCTTCCAGCTGACCTTTCTTGCTTGAATTTAAGTGGACCAGAAGATCCCCTCAGAAACCACTGGTTTGACTGGACCTTGCTCTCTGACGTCACTGGTAAATCTAGAAACAATCCATTATGATTTGGTCAGCGACACTGCCATCATAGCTTCGATTTTGCTTAGGAGCCTGGGGGAAAGGTCAGCTCTTTGAGTTAGCCAAAAGCTTGCTGAGGCCAAGATGCTTGCTGAAACACGAAAATGCTAAGCTATGTGAGATTCTAAATCCAGAGGCAATCACGTCAGTGGTCATCCTATGGTCTTCCACCATTTTCTGGACTCTCTCCAGTTTCTTTTATAAGTTTCTGGGTTTTTTTTCCAGTTTCATTTACAGTGACAGTTTTCTTTCCTTTTGGCTCATCTTTGAGGGCTTCCTGACCCCTCTAAAAACTGTTGTTTCACATGCCACAACATTCCTGTAAATTTGTTGTGAAGCATACATGATTTGGGAGGATGCCTACTTGAGTTTTGTTACAATATATTAGCGCAGATCTCAAAAGTATTTTCCCCTCCCCAATGGCATAAGAATCTCCTTTTGAAAAACAGGCATCCTAAGACTAAGACAAGGGTATCAGTAGAAGAACTTGTTTGCAGCCATCACAGGTCACAGAGACATGTTTATACACGCTTTCTTTGTAACAGACCGATCCAGGTAGGAACCCGAACAACAGTACATTTTTTAGGTTCTCTCATATAATTATAGACACTAATCTTTAAGTCCCTTTTAAAATGCAGCAAAGTCTGTAAACAACAACTTATGAACGTAATATAAATTAAAGGAAATGTAACTAGAAATTCATTAAGAATCGATTAACAAACCCTTAAATTCATTCTGAAAACAAGAGAGGGCTACCTCCATAAAGCAAGCTCTACCAAGACAATAAAGTTTCAATGTAAACACTATACTTATCTAGTGTTTATAGTGTGAAAGGCTCATTCTAACTGCTTAAGAAATAGTCATTTAGTCCCTATTGCATTAAATACTATGTTTATTCCTATTTTACAGATAAGGAAACTGAGGCATAAAGGTTAGATAACTTGCTTAAGTTGACAGAGCTAGAAAGTGGTGGAACTGTGATCTAAAACCAGGCAGTCTGGCTGAAATCCAAGCACTTAATTGCTATATTAAGTTGCCACTCATAGATATACTTAGCAGCATCCATGCGTCCCATATTCTAGTAAGAAAATCCAGAACTTCTACAGTATTAAAGATAAGAATAGGGGAAATTTTATTTTTGATGGAATTAAAATAAATTCCATCTTATTACAATAAACTATGAATTAAAAGATACATTATTCTTCAGATGTGTAATGTTTTCAGAGTTAATCTTTTCATTGGGTCACTAATAGAATTTTTGCTTTTGTTTTTTAACACCAATGTAAAAATAGTTACTTACTTTAGGATACTTTAAAACATTAGATTTAAATTTCAAAATAAACCATGATTGTAAATACAGAAAAGACAAGCCTTACTAATTCCGAATTCTACAAGGAAACACTTCTCAGTTCACCATCCAGAATTTCTGAGACCAAAAGCATAGCAAAGTCAGAACCTCAATTATGTAGCTGGAATCTCCATTCTTCAGGAGCTCACTGCTGGAGAAAGCACCCCTACTACTCACCAGAGCACAAAAGAGGCCCCACTGCTGGACCCTCAGCAGTACTTCTGAAGTGCAGTGCATACTTCATCTTGGTACCCCTGGCTGATGCACACAGAATGAAATTCTGCCCAGTCCTGAGCCATCCTCATGGTGGGTTGTGGATGGCCCGTAGAGTTTTCATAGGATAATTTATGGAAGTAGATAACAAGATCTTTCTGACTAGTCTGTCTTAGTCTGGAAGCTCTGGTGAAACCTACTCAGAATCGTAACACACCTCCACTAACAGACATGATGATGGCTCCACATTGGCCAGGAATCAAACTCTGGTCTTCTATTCGGAAGGTAATAATTCTACCTCACACCAAGTCGAATAAGATTTTAAATGGCAATCCCCAGTTCAAGAATGATTCATTTGAAACCAAGGAAAGCAAAAAACAAAACAAATCTAACAAAACCTCCCTACAATCAGAATATCATTTTCTTAGGTTCCTTAGCAACAATGGATTTATCTAGAGAAAGGAAAGGCAGGGCAGTGTGAGGGTACTGGGCGCCTGAAATGCAAAGTGAGAATGAGAACTGGGGATTGTTACAGGTGGGAAAGGAGGCACTGAAGCTGAATGTCGATAAAAATATTAAGCTGAAAATTTATAAGTTATCAAAACTTATTAACAATCATAGTTGGAATTAGTTGTTCTAATAAAAAGCTCAAAATTACCCAACATAATGTTAGAAGCCCTTTAGAAAAAAATTAGAGACGTAAACCAAGAAAGCTTATAAACCAGAAGAATTATTACTTTAGCCACAGTTATTAGAATAAAAGCACAATGGGAAAAGCATAGCATTATCAGTTAACAACATTTACTCTATGTATGCTGAGTACTATGGAGGCAGGCATGGAGGCAGAAGAGGATACAAACAAAATAGAAGGCAAAATAAATGAAAACAAACCCCTGCCCTCCAAGAGCTTACACTCTAATTAGCAATATGATATACATGCAATAAAAATCCCTTAAACAACATTATAAATAATTGCAAATAAATATAATCCAAACAAATCACAAAAGCAATGATGGAAAAAATGACAAAACTGAAAACAGGATGGGATTAAATTATGAGTATTATTTATTCAGTATTACCCCAAAAATGCTTGAGAAGTTCCCACTCATATATATTTAACTCCTAGCATTAATCTTTTTTCTAGTCCCATTAACAACAAAAAAAACAAAACTACACAATGAAAATAATGCCTAGCTAAAAGTCAGTCTTTAATTTGCCCTTTTCCCATTAACTAGAAGTATTCTAGGACATTTTTTTCTTTTGAGTTTTATCATGAATGTAAATAAAATTTTAGTTACTTTAAAAAGAGCTCAGGATAACAATTTGAAAACAAATTGCACTGAAAACTTTCATGCATATTACAAAAATAGAATACACCACATACTAAGTTCATAATCAACAGTTACAGATAAAGCTCTACAAATACTGCTAAACAACATAAGCAGACAGAAACAGGCCAAAAACTTGCAGCGAAGCAACAAACTCTTATATACATGCATGGGTGGGGCTGCATGCACACAGATTCTGAACTTTCATGAAAAGTTCAGAGGTAAAATGTTGAATCTGTGTATTAAATGTAAACGATAAATCTTCTCAAACTGGCTTTTAAATATAAATGTTAAGCCTCTCAGTGAAAATTTAAAAACAGTTCTCCCACACTATCAATAGTCAAATAATCTTCAATGTGGAGGAAACCATTCCTTTATAACAAGAAATCTACCTGGGCAATATTTGGACCTAGAATAATGCAGTATTTTCAGATGATGAAATGGAAAACACTCTCTTGGATTATTTGCCTTACATCATATGTAGTTTCTTACACACTTAACAGAAATTTCGTGAAGATTCTGGGTTTCAAATTATAACTGCATCTAGGATACATATATAGATTTCACATAGATAGGTATAGTTTAACTACTATTGAGTCTGACTCAGTGACCCTATAGGACAGGGTAGAACTGCCCCTGTGGGTTTCCCAGATGAACTCTTTGCGGGAGTAACAGCCTCATCTTTCTCCCTCAGAGCAGCTGGCGATTTCAAGCTGCTGCCCTTGTGGTTAGCAGCCCACTGCGCAGCGCACTGTGACGCCAGGGCTCTTTTGTAATATGTAAGATACTCCAAAGAAAACGTAACATTTAAATCATTATATATGTCTATAAATGCCACTATCATAGAATAGTTCCCAAAATAAATGGGAAAACGTCATAGAGCCTCTTTGATTTAATAAGGCTGCACTGCTAGTAATAAATGGGGACAAGTCTACACAAATTCAACCACGAACTGAGAGGTGGGTTTCACGGTCACAGCATGGAGGCCAGGCCCACGCTCACCTTGGACGTCTTCCTCTCCACCATCACCATCTTCTTCCTCATTGTAAGCCAGCTCAGCCTGCTTGTCTGCCTCATACTCACCTACGTTACCATCATCCCCATTGTAATCTGCCAGTTTAGAGCCATGCTGCGGATCAACAGGGGACTCATTCTCATCAAAGAACCGGCCTGTGAAGTAGGTAGAGGATTAATTCAAGAGCAAAGAGAGAAGGAAAGAAGGAACCTACACTGAAGGCAGACCAGAAAAGTGGACAAACGAAACCTAGCAACTTTCAGGTACATTTTCTGAAGGTTATCCAAGATAAAAGTAAGAATGAAGACTCTAAAACTAACTTTTACTTAAGAATTTAACTTTTGTGTTAATTTTAGTACTTGCTACTTGAGAATATTTTGTATTATATTATCAATATCATAGAAAAAATTTCCCCCCAATTTCTGCATTTTTTGTGGCCTAACACATCTTTTCATTCAGTCATAGTGATTCGGTACAGCGTCAATGTCCATGGAGGGAAGGCAGATAGGATATCAGAATCTGAAGAGGTATGATATTTTGATTAAACATTCCAAGTACTTTGGCTTTATACTTTCTCATTTTCCAAACCAGGTAAGGTTCCTGGGAATGAAAATTTATGAAAACTGGCCAACATGAGGCTGTACGTGTTTGTAACAACAAGAAATCAAGCAGAAGAGCAATATTCAACAAGTAGACATTGAAAATAAAGATGTCAGGCATTCTAAGATGGGACTCATAAACACACGTAAGCACTCTTAACATTAAATACAATTATTTTGACATTAAATATAATTAGCATAAAACAAATTTTATTTTAATCCCTAAAACACAAATGACATTAACTTTTAGGTGATGAAGGATTTAAAGCTTGAAAAATTATAAGAATTTGTTGATTTTACCACTCATTACAATTTCACTACTACTAATTTCATTTCCAGTTAAATTCGTTTTTCCTAGTGAATGTACAACTAAAATTACTATTTTAAATTCTTAACTTCCAATATATAACTATTTTTGGCTATAAACATTAATGGATACAATTTGATGTATCAGATCAAAATTTACAATGCAATGGGGCATTCATTAAGAAAAAAAGTTTCCTTTGTTTGGAAAGGAAGGTTAAATGCCAGTGGGGATAAAATATGGAAGTATTAGTCAATTCTATACCACATCACCAAATAAATATATTTCTAATTGCTGGGTAAAGATAAAAATAAATCAAGAAAATAATAAAAAACCAAGCAACATTTAGGCATTTAAAAGCAGGGAGGAACATAAAAAGTATTTGGGGCCAACAAAAAGAACATGAACTCATCTTGAATCTATTCCAGAGTAAGGTTGGGGTGTATAAAATGAATGAATGAATGAATGAATGAATGGGAAAGTGGATAAAATAGTGCTAGGGAAAAGAAACTGGTATATGAGAAGGCAGAAAAAAGGAACAAGAGACGTCAACTCTGAGAAGATGAGTTTATCTGTGAGAAATCAGGGCTAATGTTTCCTAATGATATTAATACAGAATGAACATCATAATAGTTTTTATTATTTTGTCTTTTCCTAATGATAAATTATGGCAATGTAAACAGGAAAAGGGGAAATTTAACATAAGTGGTATTTTCTTTTCTTCAACATATAGTATTTATGTGTAGATAAACTAGCTGGCACATTTAAATTATCTTTATGCAATGTAAAACTATTGCTTTCAGCATATAAACATTTTTAATTAAAAAAAATTTTTTTTATGCAGTCGAGTTTCCCATATTTGGGGAAATTGCAGGGGTCAGCACATCCGGAATGCAATGGATAAGTCTTGTGCTGGGAAAACTACCTTCGTGATCATGGTATCTCCCCTGCCAGCTAAGTATAACAAACATTTTAATATGATAGTTATCAGTAAGTTTTTCAAAATACTTTTTACTCCAAGAATTTTTTTCATTCTCTATCAGAATTCAGACTAAACCAATGTGAATTCAATCACAAAAATTCCATTCTAAAATCAGTGATATGCAAATACCTAATAATTAGTAACAAAAGTGGATGACCACACAACTGCCCTTTGTTAAATCACAATCTTTGCTAAATTTCCATGGAGAAAGATCTAAAACCTTAATACTGGGTTCAAAAGAAAATAAACCTAGTTGTACCATACCAGGATTTATTTTTAAACTTTTAAATTTATTTGCCAGCATCTTGATAGAGATCTACAGGGTAGTCCATTCTAAGATGCTTGTATTTTTCTTTCTAATACCATCTTATTTAAAATAATTCTCCCATTATAAAAAATGTGCATTATCTTTTCATGCTTTAAAGTATGAACTTCTTTCTTTAGGATATCACTTCTTTAAACACATATGTCCTCAATTAGCAAGTTTAAATATAAATAGTATCTATTTTTAAAGAAACAACATCTTTCCTGTTTCCAGTGCCCATACCCAAGAGAGTAAAACGTGTTACAGAGTCCACCACACACAGTGGCAGTCAAGTTGGGGAGATCAGATAAACTTCACATTAAGCACTGTTTCAATATGACAGCAGATGTTAAAAAGTATGTTGCAGTTGTTGTTAGGTTCCACTGAGTCAGTTTCTCTCCATAGCGACCCTATGCACAAAGAACAAAACATTGCGGGTCCTGCACCATCCTCACAATTGTTCCTGTGCCTGAGCCCATTGTGGCAGCCTCTCTGTCAATCCATCTCATTGAGGGCCTTCCACTTTCTGCTGTCCTCCACTTTACCACGCCTGGCATCTTTCTCCAGGAACTAGTGTCTCCCGACAATATCCAAAGTATGTAAGACAAATTGTTGCCATCCTTGCCTCTAAGGTGCACCCTGACTGTACTTCTTTCAAGACAGATCTGTTTGTCTGTGTTAGACAGGGTTCTCTAGAGATAAAACCAGATTGCTGATAATCTTATATATTTATTTATAAAGATAG